AGTTTTGGGGGAAAAATGGGAATTTTGGGGGGAAAAATGAGAGTTTTGGGGGAAAAATGAGAGTTTTGGGGGAAAACCCCTGAATTTTGGGGGGAAATATGGGAATTTTGGGGGGAAAAAAAGGAAATTTTGGGGGAAAAATGGGAATTTTGGGGAAAAATGGGAATTTTGGGATTCCCCAGCCCTTGTGGCTTCCTCAAGAGAGCCAGTAAAAAAATGTCAGCGCTTCTCCCAGAAAAAAAATGGGAATTTTGGGTGGAAAACGGGAATTTTGGGGAAAAAAAGGGAATTTTGGGGGAAAAAATGGGAAATTTGGGGGAAAAAATGGGAGTTTTGGGGGAAAACCTGGGAAATTTGGGATTCCCCAACCCTTGTGGCATCCTCAAGAGAGCCAGTAAAAAAATGTCAGTGCTTTTCCTGGAAAAAAATGGGAATTTCAGGGAAAATGTGGGAATTTTGGGGGCTGCCTGGCCACTTCAGAGCACTGGCAAAAAAACATCAACGAATTTATGGGCAAAATTCGGGAATTCCAGGAGAAATTTGGGAGTTTTGGGAGAAAATTGGGGAATTCCAGGGGAAGAAAAGATGGGAATTCTGGGCTTGGGTTGAGATCCTACAAAATCAGGGAAAGGTGGAGCTGGAAAAAACAGGAAACGGAGGCTGGAATTCCATCCTGGAATTTATCGATAATATTTATCGATTTCTATTGATTGGTTTAAAATAATAATCGATTTATAGGAACCAGCAAACCCCAAACCCTCCAAATCCCACCCTTTTCATCCCAACTTGTCTCCAATCCTAGGAAATCTTCCCAAAATGGTGATTTTTAGGGATTTTCCCGTTTTTTTTGTGGCTCAGGTGCGGCCTGGGCCGGCAGACGTGTTTGGAGTGCAGCTTCGAGATCCCGGATTTCCCCAACCACTTCCCCACCTACGTGCACTGCTCCCTGTGCCGCTACAGCACCTGCTGCTCCCGCGCCTACGCCAACCACATGATCAAGTAGGGGATTTTGGGGTAAAAAATGGGGATTTTGGGAAAAAAACGGGAAAAAAAACGGTGGAAAAATGAGGAAAAACGGTGAAGAAATGGAGAAAAATAGGGAAAATTGGAGAGAATTGCACCATTCTGGGGGGAACATAGGGAAATTCGTGCTGGTCTTGTGTGTGTGGCAACCACGTGATCAAGTAGGGGATTTTGGGGGAAAAAATGGGGATTTTGGGAAAAAAACGGGAAAAAAAACGGTGGAAAAATGAGGAAAAACGGTGAAGAAATGGAGAAAAATGGGGAAAATTGCAGCGTTTTGGGGGAGAATGGAAGAAAAATTGGGAAATTCCTAGTGCTCCCGTGCCTACACCAACCATATGATCAAGTAGGGGATTTTGGGGGAAAAAATGGGGATTTTGGGAAAAATGGGAAAAAAAAAGGAGGAAAAATGGTGAAAAAATGGGGAAAAAATGGGGAAAATTGCAGCGTTTTGGGGGAGAATGGAAGAAAAATTGGGAAATTCTTGCTGGTCTTGTGTGTGTGGCAACCACGTGATCAAGGAGGGGATTTTGGGGGAAAAAATTGGGATTTTGGGAAAAAAACGGGGAGAAAAATGGGTGAAAAACCAAGGGAAAATCCCACATTTCTGGGAGGAAAATGAGGAAATTCCTGTTGCTCCTGCACCTATGGCAACCACATGATCAGGAATGGAAAAATCTGGGATTTGGGGGAAAAATCCCGGGATTTGGGTGACAAAACGCCAGGATTTGGTAAAACACAACCCTTTTTCCAGGTTATCCCTGACTTTTCCATCTTTTTCCCTCTCCAGCAACCACGTTCCCCGGAAAAGCCCCAAATATTTGGCTTTGTTCAAGAACTACACGGCCAGGTATGGAAAAAAAAATTCCCATAATCCCAAAATTCTTTGGGAATTCCTGACCTTTTTTCATTCTGGGGGAAAAACCCAGGGATTTGGGGGATTTTTGATATTTATGGATGCAATGCCCTCATTCCCAGCATGTTCCAGAGCAGGGGGGGAAAAATCATATCATTGATCATTAATCATTTTAAGTTATCTAATTATTAACAATTCATGAGTTAAGAGTCTTAAATTAAATTTTAAATCTTAATTAATAATTTATTATTATATATTTCATTGTATTTTTAATAATTCAATTATCAACAAAGGGCTGGACACTTTTATATTTGATATTAAATTCCTTTCTCTTTCTTTCTCTTCCCTTTTTCCCCTCTTTTCTCCTCATTTTTTTCCTCTTTTTCCCATTTTTGCCCTTTCTCCCCCTTTCCCCTCCATTTTTCCCTCCTTTTCTTCCCCATTTTCCTTTTCTTCCCCCTCTTTTTTTCCCCCTTTTTCCCCCCATTTTTCCCATTTTTCCCTTTTCCCCCTTTCCCCCCTTCTTCCCCCTCTTTTTTCCCTCCTTTCCCCCCTCTTTTCCCCCCTTTCTCCCTTCATTCTTCTCTTTTTCCCCCCTTTTCTCCCCCTTTTTCCCATTTTCCCCCTTCTTCCCCCTTTTTTCTCCCTTTCCCCCCCTTTTTCCCCACTTTTTCCCCCTTCTTCCCCCTTTTTTCCCCTTTTTCCCCTCCTTCTTCCCCCTCTTTTTTCTCCCCTCTTTTCCCCCATCCCCCCTTCATTCTTCTCACATTTTCCCCTTTTCCCCCCTCTTTTTTCCCCCCTTTTCCCCCCAATTCCCCCTTTTTCCCCCATTTTCCCATTTCCCCCCTCTTTTTCCCCCTTTTCCCC